ATCAAGCTCATTTATTAACTCTCCTCCTCTGTTGTTTCTTTTAACAAACTCCAGAAGAGAAAGTGACTGAAGAGGAACCTAAAGTACGCTTTATGGGCAGCAGAGAGGTCTCCTTTATCTCCACCTTTCTTTTATGGTTTTATGTTTACACTTCAGAAAAATTCAGGTTCAAATATTTTTTATAATATTATATTTATTTATAATAACAAACAATTTTATAATATAATATAATATAATATAATATAATATAATATAATATAATATAATATAAGAAAGCTGTGTTTTACATATAAGCAGAGGGAACCTTCGGGCTTAGCATGAATAAACAGTCCCTCTCATTTGCTGCATGTTTGAAAACTTGAAGTCAGATTCACTCTTTGTGTTTTCGTCCTCTTGGTAACATTTTTTTTAGAAGTTTAAGGGTCAGCTGCTTTTCAACATATACTCTAGTCTACACTGAGTGAAAGTGGTTCAGATGTTCTTATTTTAATTTCATTTATAAAACATTTCTTTATTATTCTACTTTTTGTTGGTGTCAGTCCTGCAGTGTCTTTGTCCTCCTGCAGGAGGCAGTGTAAATCTGCAGAAAGGCCGATACAGCTGCAGCTTTTTGCAAACAAAAGCACCTTTTTTTCTTTTTCCTTCTTGCCTTTCACTGTTCTGCCTCCTCTTCTTTCTCCTTTTCTTCAGCTTTTTTCCTTTCTCCTCCTTCCTTTCTTTCCCGTTCCTTTATTATCTGTGTGTTTATTGAAGCTGATAATTGACAATTGCAAAAGACAATCTGAATTTACGTGTAATTACATCACAATATGTGTGTGAATGTTATCGTTGTGTCTGTAAGTGTGTGAGTGTGTGTCTGTGTGTATGATCTCTCTCTGTCTGTGTTATCAGTGAGCGTCAGCTGGCTCTTTGCTTTGTTTTTAGGTCACTTTTGCACCAACTTCCTTAAATCATTCTGAAAGCAGCTCAGTTCTTTAAAATAGAAACAATTAGTGTGGGCTTGACATTCAACTCTTTCTCTCTTTCCTTCTTTCTTTCTTTTCCTTTCTCTTCTGTCCTCTATGGTTTGCTTTTCTTTGGAGAGGGGGAAGTAGGCCGTCTGTCTCTGACTGGGCAGCACACATCAGCTCTGTCTTGTTGTGATGACGAAGCTGATCTTATAGTGACAGCTCTGCCCCTCATTGTTTTACACCTGGACCGTGAAACACGTGAAAGGGATTGATCTTCTGATTCAACGGGATCTTTGGAAAAGGTGTTCAGAGTTGTGAAATATAAAAATCATCAAAACAAATTGGTTGGATGAGCATGTTTGGCACCATCAGGTCTCCAAAGACCTGAAAATGTTTTAATGATCTTTATAGGAGAAATGTTTGCACAGAGCCACAGTATCTGCTGTAGCCAGACTCTCCATATCTGGGCTTCAGTGCTGCACTCACTCTGTGAATTTCTCCAAATGTTGCTTTACTGATGCTGATGCGCTTCAAAAAGCAATTTTGAGCTTAAATAACCAAAATATTTTTAATGAAATTAACTTCTCGAGGAGAAATGTAGGAGGGCTGCACTGTGTAAATTTGACATTATTCAATAATGATCCACCAAGTTTATCTATCTTCAGTGTTGCACTTTGAGCCTGTTTCACTTTCAGTCTTAGTGTCCTCGATCATTTAAAGCCAACTCATTTAAATCAGACATCCTTCCCTTGAATTCAATTTGAGAAATGT